AAGACGACCCAAAAACTGCCTAAGAGGGCGCCAAGACGGCCCAAGGAGCGGCCAAGCCGGCCCAAGAGGGCTCCAAGACGGCCCCAGGAAACTCAAGAGGGGGAGCCCGAACCGAAAATCTCAGCCTGTCCATTCACGACGTTCTCAAGAGGCTCCAAGAAGCCCCCAAAAGGCCCCAACAGTCCCCCAAGAAGCCCCCAGGAGGCCCCAGAAGGCCCCCAAGAGGCCTGACAGAGGCCCCAACAGGCCCCAAAACGACCCCCAAGAGGCTTCCCAAAGTCCCTTGCTCAATCCCCTGGGTCTCAGTCCTCAAGCCTGAGGATTCTTTATTAATGGTCCTGCACCCCAAGCTCTCAAATCTCTCGGGGCTCCCCGCGCGCCCTCTGGGATCCCCAGAATGTTCCCGCATGACGTTTTCGAGCCCAAGAGGCCCAAGACGGGCCAACAGGGCCCCAAGAGGCCCTCAAGACGGCCCAAGAAAGCCCCGAATCACCGAACGATCGGTCCAAGACGCCCAAGATGGCCCCAAGACGGCCCGAGAAACTTTCGAGACGCCCCAAGAGCCCCACAAGCCATCCCAAGAGGGCCACCAGAGGCAAAAACTCATTATTTTCCTCTGAATGGTTCTATGTGTGTGATCGACGTCACAACCACCACCATTCGTCATCAACATCCTCACCACCATCACCATGGTCAACGTCGTCGTCATCATCATCATCATCATCATCATCATCATCATCAGAATAATCATCATCATCATCATCATCATCACCACCACCACCACCACCACCATCTCTTACCCCTCCTCCTCGTCCTCCTCCTCCTCCTCCTCGTTCTCCTCCTCCTCGTCATATCGCCACCACCACCATCGTCCTTATCATCCTCCTCCTCATCCTCCTCATCCTCCTCATTATCATCATCACCATCACCATCACCGTCACCACCATCACCATCACCATCATCATAATCATCATCACAATCACCATCACCATCACCATCACCATCACCATCATCATCACCATCACCATCACCATCACCATCACCATCACCATCATCATCACCAGCATCATCATCACCATCATCACCATCACCAGCATCATCATCATCATCATCATCATCATCACCATCATCATCATCATCACCATCACCATCACCATCACCATCATCATCATCATCATCATCATCATCATCATCATCATCATCATCATCATAATCAGCATAATCATCATCATCATCATCATCATCATCATCATCATCATCATCATCATCATCATCATCATCATCATCATCATCATCCGGAGCGCCCCGGATCGGCGGCACTGGCCGGAGGCCAGCACAATATCGAGCTGGAGTCGGCGATAGGGCTCGACCTGAACGGTGCCTTTCGTCTTCGGCTCGCTTTCGTCCTCCCTCGTGCTTGCCTTCCAGTTGCCTTCGCTGCAGAGTTCCACGAAATCGGTCCACGAAATCGCTCAGATACCGTTGAAGTTTAGGTCGAGACCTGATCGGCGGCACACCGCCGACTGAGCGGCGAGAGGCCCCCGCAGTGGCAGGACCGCGCGCTCCTGGTCGGGGCCCCGGGCCCCCCTCGGCGAGGCAACGGGCGATGGGAGGCCGATGCTCCGGCACGCGCTCACACGGATTGACGATCCGTGGATCTGGCGCGGGGGCGCCAAACCCGGGGATCGGGGAAAGTGCTCAGCGGGGGAAAGGGTGCGCACACCTCTACCCTTCGGCCGTTTGCCCCTTTTGGGGCCTCCTGGGAGGCCCTCATCGTCACCGCTGGATTCGCCTCGACCTTCTGGTCAGAACGCAACCCAGGGAGAGGTCTGGGGGGTAGCGGTACTGGTACCTTTTGGTCTCCCCAAGTACACCCCGAAAGGTGAAGTCAGTGCCGCCTCATTTGGCGACGCAGCGCGTCGGTCTCGCAACGCGTCGGTCTCGCATGAAAGCGGGACCCGTTGCTAAGCCACGCGTCTGAGCACATGCACTCGTATCCTCGAGATGCATCCCCCCCCTGAGCGTATCCCTCCCACAGCTTTGCCCCTGAGGGGAACGTGCAATGATCCCCCCGAGACTGCCCACACCCGCTGCGGCTCCGAATCGGGCCCCTTGCCCGCCGCTCGGCAACTCCCAGGCTGGGGAAACCGAAAGATACCGATGCCGCTTCTCCCTGGACCTCTCCCATGGCGCGTTCTGACCAGAAGTTCACCAGCCGTGGCGACTAGGGCCTCCCAAGAGGCCCAAACGGCATCGGTACCTCCAGGCGCCCCAGGAGAAGCATCCTGGCAGGTGCCTTCGGGCGACTGAGGGAAGCGTCCTGGCAGGTAACATCGGGCTTCCCGGGGAAGCGCCCTGGCGGGTACCTCCTCCTCCTCCTCCTCCTCCTCCTCCTCCTCCTCCTCATCATCATCATCATCATCATCATCATCATCATCATCACCATCATCATCATCATCACCATCATCACCATCATCACCATCATCATCATCATCACCACCACCACCACCATCATCATCACCACCACCACCACCACCACCATCATCATCATCATCATCATCATCATCCCTCCTACTCCTCCTCCTCCGCCTCCTCCTCCTCTTACCCATCGGTCGGAAGAAGTAGGTAGAAACATGAAGTAGGAAGACGTTGAGAATAGCTTGATTCGCCCCCTTGGGAGGACGGAAAAGGTGAAGCCACTCGATCATTGAAGTAGGAAGGCGCTTAGAGTAGACTGGAATATGGGAATCAAAATACCTACTTTCAAAGACCGATGGGTACAGGCAAGAACAGCCCCTCGACCCACTCCCCGTGGGCTGGCTTTGCATCCTGCAGGTCGACGGGCCCGACACTGGCCTCTAAGGCCGACGCTTGTTCGAGCCGCTGGACGTCCAGGAAGGGCCAGAGCGCGCGCCCTCGCTGCCTAGCCACAAGGGCATGCGCGTGACGCCTAGGACTGGGATGATCCTCTGAGCGCACGCGCGCCTCTGAAGGGGAAAGGTGATTAGGGGGGGCCAGCTCAGGGGGAGGGGAACCATCGAGCTTGAACCGGCGGTACATCGCCGATGGATCGGCGACAGGCACCGATGGCGAATCCGCACGCTGCTGGGAGGGGTGGGCTATCAGGCCCTGATTCGGCGAGGAGTGGGCGATTGGGGGTCCACGTGTTACCCCCTGAGCCCGCTCCCCCTGCACGGTTTCCCCCGGGGCCGTAGGCGACCCGAGGAGGAGGAGGAGGAGGAGGAGGAGGAGGAGGAGGAGGAGGAGGGCGGGTCGCCTAAGCCCTTCGGAGAAACCCTCCACATGAGCCTGTTCCCGCCTGCCGCTGCCCCTGACAGCTGCTCCCGTCCCCGCCCAGTCCCGGTGGAGGCGGCAAGGGTGGGGTCCGCCAGCTGGCCGTTGAGCGGGGTGGGTGTGCAGCCTGGCGCCGCTTGTGGACCCGCCCCCGCCCCGTGGGTCGTCGCCCTCGGGCTCCTCCTCCTCCTCCTCCGCCTCCTCCTCCTCCTCCTCCATCCTCTCCTCCTCCTCCTCCTCCTCCTCCCTCCTCCCCTCCTCCTCCTGTCATCCTCTCCTCCTCCTCTCCTCCTCCTCCTCCTTTTCCTCCTCCTCCTCCCTCTCCTCCTCCTCCGCCTCCTCCTCATCCTCCTCCTCCCCTCCGCCTCCGCCTCCGCCTCCGCCTCCTCCTCATCGTCCTCCTAGGTGACTCGGACCATGGAAGGGTAGCCTGCAGGACAGCTCGAGGATTGGGCAGGGAGACACACAGAGGCCCTGGAAAGATCGCGAGAAGGACATCGAGTCTGATAAGGAAACGATATCCTCAGCCTTGACCACGCTTCCCAAAGACGAGTCTGGAGCTCTGGGACACGGGCTACATGCCAGATCTATGGCGACATGGCCAGGCCACAACACCTCAGCATGGCAACGTTCCATTCGGAATCGGCCACCACACCGCTGGTGGCACGACGGAGCGAACTGACATTGGGGGGAGCCGTCCTTCATCCTTCCCATGGTGTTGTCGCATCCCCTCGTCCCCAGACTTCCATCGACAAGCTTTTTCCCCAAGCAGTACAGTCAACCCGTATATGGCGCACGATGAGGATGCAAGGGCCTTGGAAGGCCATGCCGACCCCTTGCGAGCGGGGCGCAGCCAGCGAAAGCGGCCAAGGATGGGCCGAGGGGGAAAGATGCGCAAGCGTAACCTTGGAAAGTCGCTCATCCTTGCTATGCGGGGTGACTGCACTTGCACCAATGCTTTCCCTCTTGCGTGGCCGAATGATTCGCTAGCGCTTCCAGGTCTTCGCCAGGCTGGAGCAAGCGGGCCCAGATCCCAAGTCGTTTTCTGACAGTCCTGGGGCCCGCGGAGGGCCCCGAGAGCCCGAAAAAGCGGCGAAAACCCTCGGGACCCGCCTCCTGCAGGACCCGCCTCCCCCGCGGCGATCCCTGGCGCTGGCCGCCTCCAGGCGCCATGAGGTTCGGCAGCCCCAGCATCTCGGCGATGGGCCTGGGCGCGGAGGCGTTGGGGCGACGAGCGCACGGGGGGGGGGGGGGGCAGCGGGCGGGGAGGCCGGCGGAAGCAGCGAGCAGCGCGCACCGCAGGGGCGGCGGAAACGACGACGACGACGACGACGACGACGACGACGACGACGACGACGACGACGACGACGACGACGACGACGACGACGACGACGACGACGGCGCCGACCAGCAGCAAAATGGGCGGCGACGGCGTGGCGCGCACTGGGGCGGCGGGCGGCGGCAAGGGGCAGCGGCGGCACGCGGCGGCGCGGTGCCGAGGGGAAGGTCGGGGGCGTCCGAGCGGGAAGCGTCCGAGAGGGGCAGATGGGGGGGGGGCGACAAGCATCGCCCGAGGCGTGAGCACGCCCCGGGGAGGGGGGGAGGGGCCAAGGGAGGTGCTGCAGCAGGAAGGGGCGCCGCGGAGCCTGGGGAGACAGCACGGCCCCGGCCACGAGATCCACCCCCCCCCCTTGGTCCTGGCTCCCCTCGTGGCCGCCCCCGAGGAGGGCCCGTGGGCCGAGGCAGCGCGGCAGCGACGCGGCGCGGCGGCGACGCGGCGTCGCAGCGGGGCGGCGCAGTGCGGCGGCGAGGCGCAGCGCGGCGGCGAGCGCCTGCCGCGGCGGCGTGGCGAGCGGGGTGGAGCGGGGCAGCCAAGGGAGGGGACCGCGGAGCGGCGCGGCGTAGAGGCAGGGCGCGGCGGCGGGGCCACCCTCCGCCAGAGCGGCCCCGGCAAGGCGGAGCCCCAGCTGCCCCCCTGGGTGGGGCCGTCGGGACCTCTGCGGCGGGAGGAAGAGGAGGGGCAGGAGGAGGAGTTCGGCTCAGTCCTCGAGCCCCTCGGGGCCGCCCGTGGCGAAATGGAAAAGAAGAGCCCTTGGCTCGTGCCGGGGCGTGGAAGACACCGCTCTGTCCCCCTGTCGTCTATTCGCCTGTAGGCGGCCGTGCTGCTACCACGCTTGCGCCTCACGGAGCTGCTTGGCGAGAGGAGGGGAAGAAGCGAGGGAGCGACGGATGCGGCGACGACAGGGCGGCGGAGCAGAGCATGACGCCGGAGCTACCCGCCGCGTGCCCATCCTCCCCGCCCCGCTGAGATCGCCAAGCCAGAGGCAGCGACCGTCTCGGGGAGGCGCCCTCAGAGACCCGGAGAGCATCCTCAAGACCGGCATCGCGAGCAGGCAAAAGGCGATGCCAATCCTGGGGTTAGGTCGGGCATGTCCCCCTACAATCGCATCCTCGACGAAACAGGAAAAAAATACAAGCAAAAACAACAAAACAACAAAAAAACAAAAAACCGTCCACCGATGTTTTTTTAAAACTATTTGGGAATGTTCCTCCTGTAGAGGGACGTGCCCGACTGAATGCCAATCCTGGGGGTCAGGAGATGCTCCAGGCTGGTCGGACGGAGGCCCACGGCGTGCGCCGCCCCGCGCCGCGCGTGCCGTCGCGCGAGGCGCTGGCAGCGCAGGTGGCCTCTTTGTTCGCCCCACGCCGCCCCGGCAGGAGAGGACCACGGCTCTTCGGAGCCCGGAGAGCGCGAGGATCGCGAAGAGCGCGGCTGCCCCTCCGTGCGTCTCGGCGGGGCGGCCTGCGCGAGCCGGAAGACGACGCGGGGGGGAGGGGGGGGCAGACGAAGGACGGAGGGCGGGGATGCGGAGGTGCAGGAGAGAAGGAGGGCGGGGCCGGAGGGGCCAGGGCGGAGGAGGGCGGAGGGGAGAGCTCTCCTGCGACGCCGCAGGAGGAGGGCAGGAGGAAGAGGGCCTAGGCGAAGGAGGAGCACCCGGCCGCTGCGATCATCCGATCACAGTCCATGCCACGTAAGGGGGCGCAGGAGGAGGAGGAGGAGGAGGAGGAGGAGGAGGAGGACGAGGACGAGGAGAAGGAGAAGGAAAAGAAGGAGGAGGAGGAGGAGGAGGAGGAGGAGGAGGGAGGAGGAAGAGGAGGAGGAGGACCTTGTGGACCTTTTGACCAAGCACGGGGCGTGCGGGGGGGGGGGGGGAAAGGGGGAGAAAAGCGGACCCCGAACGGGGGTGCTTAGGTGCAGGCGGGACCCCACCTCACCGCCACACCCCCGCACCTCCCACTGGCCAGCTGGCCCTCCGCGGGAGGGCCAATTAACCAGCGGAGGCGGGCGGCCCACCGCCCCCCCCCCTCGGGCGCAGCACGCGCAAACAACCTCTCAAGGCTACCGCGTTCACGGGCACCGAGGGCAGCTTGCAAAGGCTTAGGCGCCCCTTCTCTGCGGGGGTACATGCCTCCCTCGATGCGGCTTAAATTCTCACGGCCTTCGCGGGAGAGGCCCTCGCATCTCGCCGCGAGGTGGCGCCCATCGACCGTGGCGTACTTGCCACAGGTGGTGCAGAAACTCAGGAGGTAACGCTCCCACCTCTGGACGGCATGAGAGGGGCGCACGCCCCTTCCAGCCGCCAAGCCCCCGCTACACGCCCCCACACCAAGGAGAGGGAGGCCGCGGCACTGGGTCTTAGCGGCGTCAATGAGACGTGACACGGGCACTACAATATCACAACTCCTACACCTCCATGAGCCCTCTGCTTGCTCGGAGCTATGGCTGGAGGCCTGCAGTACACGCTGCCTCTTCGAGGGGGGGGGGCTCTACGCTGCACAGTGGCCCGCACCCCCCTCCATGGGTCAGCCTCCGCAGCCAGGGCCAAGGCGCGCCTCGCACGAGCTCGAACCAGGGTGCCAATCGCATCCCAGTGGTCAGTCTGAGGCTCTCCCCCTTCCACCGAAACCGCCCACCCTCTCCCCGCCGCAGCCCCCGCCTCCTCATCGGCCAGGGCGCTGCCCTGAATTAGGCAGGGGTCGATCGGCTCGCTGAGAGAGGTGGCTTCGCCCATATGCGAAGGGATCCATTTCAGGTTCACCTCCGACGACCGGGCCTGGAGTGCCACCCGAATTCGAGACCACAAATCTTGATTTGAACCGTTCTTCTGGAACTGCCGACCCTTCCCCCATGCTTTCACGAGGGGCTCGTGGTCGTTAACAAACAGAAACCTCTCGGGGACATGCTCGAGTGCGATGGCGAACGCGAGCAGCTCCGCTCGAGGGACCGTTTGACGCTGCCCCCCGACAGGAGTCGAAAAGCCCCATGCAAGCCTCCAGCCCCCTTGGCCGCCAGGCTGCATAGCGATCACAGCAGTACCACACCTTCGCCTACGTGGGTCCGCACTGTGGGCCCCCCCCCCCGATCCGTCGCCGAAAACCACCACACTCCCAAAGTTGGGACGCGGTTCAACCTCGGAAATCGGGAGCGGCCCCAGGGACAGAAGGTTTTCTTCAGGAAAACCGAAAGATGGGTGTAGCTCTTAGGCGAAACTCCCCTGAGCCACAGAACTGGGCAACTCTCCCAGTGCACCTGGGCCTGCTGCCTGATACATTCACTCTTCACAAATTCCTCGAAGCCTACATTGCACGGGCACTCCCACACCCGATGAAAGAGAGTCTCTGTGCTCTGCTGGCATCTTGGACACTCTGTGGCTACTTCATATCCTAAGGCCGCCTGTCTTTCTCGAGTGAACTGTCTACCAGACACTGCCGCATTCTGGAGACCTACGAGCTCATAAGCTTCCTCGTCTAAAAACTTGCGTACTTCGCGACTCGCCAGGAGAACGCCCCCACCCCCAAGCTCCAGCCCCTCACCCCCATAACGAGAAGCGGCCTGGGTCCAAAACTGGGACGCAAAATCCTGGACCAGGTCGTCGAGCAATTCGATAAAATCTACATCCCCTTGCTCGAATCCAGCCTCTCTCGCGCACGGCAGTCTCCAAACCTCGCTCCCGCTCGCAGTTGGGCGACGCCACGAGTCGGGGGAGAACGGGGTCCACCCAGCCTCGTAGAGAGTGGCAATCACCGCGCTGATAGGCCCGCGCACCCTATTCCACCGCGTTCTAGCTGGCCAGAGCCGAGGGGCAAGATGCTTCCAAGCCGCTCTGATGCGGTCGTGGAGCTCTGGCGACGACTTCCAAAATAAACAAAACTCGAGGACCAACTGACGGCGCAACTCCAAACCAGGATCTTCGACCCCTAAGTGCATGGCAAGCAACGTGGTCAGACACCGACCCGAACCCGTTCGAGCGATAGCCTGGCCAGCCTGCCGCCTGAGGTTCTGAATCTGGCTCGGGCTCACGCAATGCACCCGGCGCCCGTACACCGCTTGGGGAAGGGCCCCCGCGGTCCAAAGTGACTGCGATATCCTCGATAATTTAGCCGGGCGCCTGAGCTTACTGATGAACCTCTTGGTGGCCTTGACTAGCCTACTCTTGGTCCGTTTGAGAATCCTCAATCTACCGCTGACACCTCAGCTGAATGCGGGACCTCGGCTGCCTTCAACAACTGACTTATTCGAGCTCTAACGCAAGACGATGAGGCCAGAACAGTGGTCTTGTCAGAAATCACGAGCCGAGCCTATCGCAGACCTTCAGTCAACACTCTTGCCGAGGCTGCCAAAGAGATCGCAACACTCTCTGCCGCCCCTTCGGCCCTCGAGACCGCATCGTCGATAAAGGACCACAGCCTGCAAGCCTTGACCTGCCGATGGGCACGGTCCAAAATCGGAAACAGAAACAATTTCGCAAGCGGGGCCCCCAAGCAAGACCCTGCGACGAGGGAGCGCGTCGGGTAGATGGCCTCGCTAGCTCCCCCTTGACTCCTCAAAAACCTGGGCGCTAAATAGACCTGAGACTCTAGCGCGACAACCAGGGCAGGAAACCCGATGTCTAACGCTGTGTTGATTAGCATCACCAGGCTCAGTGAATCGTAAAATTTTCTATATCTAGCAGAAGTGTCGCTACATGTGCACCTGCTAGCACTGCAGTCTCATCGAGCAAGCTGCGCAGCAACGCGGCTCGCAATGCTGAGTTGCCCTTGATAGCCGCATCCCAGAACTGGCCAAGGCCTGCACTCCAAGCCTCGACCAGCCCCGATCTCACTCGGCTCCAGAGCATTATAACATTCGAGAGCATGCCGATCGTTCGGTCACCTCGCTGATTAGGTTTGGGCAAGAGGGCGGAAATCGTGGCAAACATCTGCTCTGGCCACACTCCTTCACCTTCGACAAGGTTTAAAAGGGCGGCCAACTCTTCCACCCCCTGCTCTGGCAAGCGCTGCACACCGGCCACTCGGAGAACGTCTATCCCCGGGGCTTTCTTGGCGGGAGCCCGATACCAGAGAGAGGAGAGGTGGGAGGCCTCGATGGGGCCCAGGGGGCCCTCGCCAGCCCTACGGAGCGCTCCCGAGATGGCCTCTTGCAGGGCTGTCGGGGTGTCTACAGGATCCAGCCACCTCTGCGGCCACGCAGCCTGCTTCTGGGCCATGATGGCCGCGGGGTCCGAGACGACCTTCCCTGGAGAAAGCGATTCTAAGGGGGCGGGCGGATCTTGCTTTACATGTCGGTGCAGGATGCCTGGCTTCTTTTTCCACTGCTCCTTCACCCAACACTCAAAAGCACGGCGAGATGAAGCAATCCCACGAGAGTGCGCGCCTATCCGCAGCCTCGACCAGCGCTGGAAGATCAGCCTCGCTCTGAAGGCTGAGGTCATATAAGCAAGCGATCGTGGTGCCGCCGAGCTCCTGCATGTCTTTGCCTATAAAATCCGATATGTCTTGCCCGTCAAGCTGCTCACATTGCTTGCGCAATTTGCACACGCACTGCCTTAACTGTCTCTCGTCTTTGCCAGAGAATCGCAGGGAAACGCATCGTTTGAGGAGCGTGGTGGAAACCGCCCACCATTCAGCAGGGGGGCCGTTAACCAGGTGGGCTCGGCCTGGTGAGGCCCTAGATTTCTGCCAAAACAAGGAAAACCCCTGAGCGCGTCCCTGGAACGGCCCCCATTCATCCTCACCAACTCTGGACGCCGTCAGGATGAAAACCTCCACTCTAGCGACACAGCGAGCATACCTATGGTTAACCCTCTGCGTCGCCGCAGGCCGCGCCGCATCCAAAAAGTGGCGGGCAACTCCAGTGCTCTCCAACTCCTGGCCAATAAAAGACTCGGCTGATGAACGCGGCTCGCCCACAAGCAAGCAAGCCTGCGTCCGCACCTCATCGGAGACACGGTACTCGACTCCGTCCTCCTGAGGTACATTCAGAGCTGGTGGAGGATGGGCCAGATCAAAAGCCTCCTGCAGCTCTGGAGCTAGTCTGCCTCGTCGAGCAAGCCGTGCTTCTTCTCGTCGCAGGGGACTCTTGCTCGCGGGGTCGGATTTCTTCCTGGGCCTATCGACTTGCGGCAACTCCTTCGGCAGGCGCAGCTTCCTGCGCCAGATCGGCTGCTCGGACCCCTCGGACGAGACCGCGATGCCGCCATGGGTCTCCCATGGCACAGCAAACACTAGGGTGAGGGTCACCCTGTCCTTCAAGCCCTCGCTGACAATCGCGAAATCGATCATGGGGCCCTGACCTTTGTCGCATGTGATGTCACAAGGAGGGGTCAGCACCACCCCCCGCATGAACTCCTGAATGCGGGCCTGCGCGATCTGCGACGGGGAATGGTTCCAGTCTCCTATGATCACATACGGGTCAGCCAAGCTCCTCACGAAAGAGACGAGAGCCCTCAACGCCCTCACGTTAGGCCCCTTCGTGAGCCCAAACTTGGGAGCGAGATAGGTGCAGATCAACACCACGTTGCCACCCTTCATATGCCAGGCAAGAGCCGAGAAACCATGAAAGGGGCTAGCTGCCCCGTTAGCGCGGAACTTGGTGAGGTACTCAAAGGAAGATGTCGCCACATGGGTGCGTGCCAGGATGGCTTCACCTGCTGATGTGCCAGTCTCAGATCGTCCGCTATTCCTGGCAGGTGTGGCGACCATCTTCCAACCGTCCTTCCTCACCGCTGTCTGTACCTCGGAGGTGAGTTTTTCGTTGAGGTGAGTCTGGACGAACATGCACACATTAAACTCCCTCAGGCTCGCCACGAACTTGTGGACCTTAGAGCCCCACTCGGTAATGTTTCCGCACAGCGCCGAGACGCGATGACGACCACCGCTGGGTCGGTCCATTAGCTCGGCCACGTCCAGCTTCGTCAAGGACGCCTGCTCTCGCTTGAGCTCCACCTTGGGCCATGCCTGGTGCTGCTTGAGGGAGGCCACCTGCTCTTCCACCGCCGCGTTGTCCATCACAGGCTCGGCCTCCAGCTCCATTCCATGTGCCAGGGGATCTTGAACGTCCCCTGACTGTAAACTGTCGATGTACTCGTCCAAATCATCAAAAGGATCCTGCTCCTCTGCAGCTGGGCCTTCGCAGGCTCCCTGAGGGCTCCACCCGTCGGCGGCCCTGGAGATGCGCTCATCGGGAAGGAGGGTCTCGGCCACCCGCGCGTCCGCGGCCTCCTGCTTCCGATGGTGGGCCACGTTGCTGCTTTCATGCCGAGTCTGTGACTCTTCCAGCCTATACTCCTTCGAACTCGAGGGGCGTCCTGACTGTGTGTTTTTCGAAGCTGCATCTAGCGCTGGTGGGGATGAGGGTGTCGCTGTCGGCGATCTCGCCCACGTCGATGTAGGGAGAGCCGTCGAAGGGGTACCAGCGTCCCACTTCTCGGCACCGTCGTCATGCTTACTGGCGTCCAGGCACGTGATCCACTGGCCAGCTCTCTGCTTGAGCTGGTCTGATGTACCCTGCTGCACTGGTCGGTCCCAATCCTTGGGCGAGCGGCGACCTTGTACACGGACGTCATGTGCAGCGGGGCCTTCGCTGTCTCCCTGCAGGCTCCACCCGTCGGCGGCCTGGGGGACGCGCTCATCGGGAAGGAGGGTCTCGGCCACCCACGCGTCCGCGGCCTCCTGCTTCCGATGGTGGGCCCCGCTGCTGGCAGACGCCGCCCTGCAGGTCGTTGCGGCTCGCTCTGCCCTGGAGGTGAGTGCGGGGCCCGAAGCCGCTCGCTCTGCCTCTTGGGTGAGTGCGAAGCCCGATGATGCGGCTCGCTCTGCCGCAGGGGTGAATGCAGGGCCCGTAGCCGCTCGCTCTGCCCCCGCAG